TTTTTTTTTTAACAGTTTTTAAAATGTTTGTTGAAATATTTTGTTTACGATTTTTCATTTAGTTATGTACATGTATGTATGTATTTATATTTACATTAAAAATGCAATCGTAAATTGATTAAAACATTTGAAAGGCGCAGCACAAGGGTTCTTCATGAAGTTTGTCCCTCGCGGCACTCTATAGCTTTTGTTTCCATAGCAACTACGGTGGACGCGAATGTACAAACATGAGGTGAACAGAGAAGAAGGACGAAATGTGTTTATGCTCTGTCGTCATCATTAGTATTTTTATACCGTTGCAATGACACCGATATAGTTTACTTCAGCCTCTACTGTTGCTTCGCTCACAAATACCCCGTTTTCCCAGGGCGTTGGTAGATTTGTTCCCGGACTTATAATGATGGATGACATCGAACAGGCAATAGATGAGGAGCTGATGAAATTAAACCTACATCCTTCTGAAAATGATTCAGAATCAGACGATGATAACTTCACTGTTTTGGATGGAAATGTAAGTGGCAATTGTATTTATTTGTTACTAATTTCTTAAACATCTATTTTAAATTAAGTCGACTTTACAACATTTTATTTCAACCCACTTTATTATGAAAGCTTTATATGTAAAACCAGCGTTTCTTGAATTTCTTGAATCTTGAACTTGTGAAGAAAAACGAGTTAAAACAAACAATATTGGCATTGAATTTGATCATCTATCCCACTTTTATGACAATGTGATGACATTTATAATTCAAGTAGTTCATCCAAAAAATAAATAAATACATTCAAATGTATGCTTACATAACACCTGTCTGTACATCATTAACAATCACCTCTTTTTTCACAAAAGCTGCATGCAGAAAATGAGCTGCCTGACTCAGTACTCACATATGTTGAAGCTTCAAGAAATCGAATGAATACCTTTGAACAATTAATCCTTGAAGATGTTGAAGAAAAGGGTAAGAAAGCATTTTTAAAATAGAACTGATTGAAAGTCTTAATTAAAATGACCTAATATGTTTATTAGAGGCATTGCATTTTGCTCATAGACTTCTCAAGCCAGAACCTGTCTCACCTTAATCACAATGAACCAGCTTCAGTTTTCACAGACGACCCCATGAAGTGGAAAGACCGAGTGAGTCATGGTTATTTGTTTGCAGTTAAATGGAAATGGTATTCCATCTGAGGCATAACAGAGGAAAGGAGAAGTGTCTGTGTTTTGTCCTTAACTCAACCTTTAATTCAGTTTGTCCATCATAGTAGCAAATGATCTGTTATGTTACCTGTTTGATTTGTGTTCAGTCAATATGAATTTAGACTTTGGATTCTCCCTTAAATTACAGGCTGTAAATTACCCTTATTTACCCTCAGACATGCAGCATAGTCCTCAGATGGTGTGTTTTTTTTTTGTCAGGTTATCTCTGAATTAGTGGAACAAGTTGGACATCTAAATGACATTGAGCCACAGAATGCCCAGTGGGAGATTCCAAATATGTCAGGCATGGAAGGTATATTTTCTGTAATGATGTGTTTAGATGGACCTGCATTTTAAGTTTATTAACGCTAGTAAAAACATTAAATATGCAAAAAATACCATAAAAATGAATTCTGCAATAGTTTTGCATAGATTGCTTATTATATTCCCAGAATTATACCTTTATTCTGTTTTTAGATTATATATGCCCTGAGAGTGAACTGCAACTTAGTCTTGAGTGGAGAGAATTAGAGAAAAGACTGAGAGAGGAAGAAGAGCAGAAATTAGCAGCACAGGAGGTAGAAAGAGAGCTGCATCAGAACTCAGAAAGAGAAGAAGAAGAGAGGAGGAGGAGAGGACGGATGAAGTTTCAGGAGGAGCTGAAGAAGATAGAGGAGGCCACTTGGGTAAGACTGTCTTTAACACTTACAC